TAACCGCTCTCTGAAATATATATCTTTTGAGAGCGGTTATTAAGTGACCGCTCTCCAAATTAACTTAAGAGAGCGGTTAAATCTGAACTGCTCTAATAAGTGTATTTTAGAGAGTAGTTCCTTTACAACCGCTCTCAAAATAGTACATTATAGAGCGATTCATCCTTAACTGCTCTCAAATGGTTGAATTGGAGAGCGGTTGAGCGCTAACCGCTCTTTTTGTCTCTTATACAAAGCGGTTTTCACTAACCGCTCTTTTTGATGTAGTGTACATTTTAAGTAAAAGAAATTTACGGTTGTGGAGAGGAGTGCTCTTGATGATGATGACATTCATGATTGGACTACTAGAAAGGTGAAAATGGAGGATGGATCAATGTTGGATGATGAGAAGATGGCTGAGGTCAGGACTGATGGTGAGCAGCAGGGGAATGGGAAAAAAAAAAGGTCCAAGTCCTATTTGAATAGTCTTTTCTCAGATAAAGCTGAGACCTTTACTGACTTTCATAGCCTTATGAAAGAGATGGAGGTACTGGAAGAAGAATGCTATAAGAATGCTGAGGTGTTTGAAGGTGATTCACTAGAGTTGGACCTATGTCCTACCATTATGATTGCGCAGGGAGAATTTGAGGAATGGTGCAAGCCATGGAAGAATTCTTTGGTGGTCCATGTTTTGGGCAAATGGGTTGCCTTTCGAATGCTTGAGAATAAAATCCAACAGGAATGGATTAAGGCTGGGGTGGTACGCATTGTTGATATGTCGCAGGATTTCTATCTTGTCCAATTTGCTGTTGAAAAAGATTATGAACATGCCTTGTTTGAAGGACCTTGGATGATAGCGGACCACTATATTGTTGTCCAAAGATGGAGGCCATTTTTCAATCTTAATAAGAAGAAAGTGCGCAAAATTGTTGTTTGGATAAGGATTCCAAGGTTGCCAATTGAGCTATTCAATAATAAGTTTTTGTCGCAGGTTGGTAGCAAGTTAAGATATATGTTAAAAATTGATATGCTTACTTCGATTCAATCCAGGGGATGCTTTGCTAGAATTTGTATGGAGGTTGACATTGCAAAAAAATTAGTGGCACAAATCAATGTTCTCAGACATATTCTCAAGTTAGAATATGAAGGTTTACACTCAATATGTTTTCGTTGTCGAAAGTATAGTCACAAGTAAACTCAGTGTAACACACATCAAGAGTTGGAGGGTACAAGAGACGCAGTGCATGTCGAAGCAGCAATGGAGATGGAAAGTGGTGAGTCTAACCATACTGCTGACATCAGCCCTGGTCCGGATATAGGTGTGAATAATGAGAATGCTGATGAGTTAGATGGACCACATAGCCCCTTATGATTGTTAAGAAGGATGAAAAAAAGAGTCATATAGTAGTTAATAACCATATGTGGCTAACCGAGAGAAGAAGAAAGTTACATTGAAAATACGGGATAATGCGAATAGGTCACAATTTTCTCTATTAAATCCTGAGAAGGATTTGAATTCAAACTTAATGGATAATGCCAATTGGTTGTCGAAACAAAAGGAGGTAGTTACTTCTAGGATTCGTAACGTGGAGAGAGGACGTAACATCTAAAGTAATGCACATAAGGGTGAGGTGGCACGTCCAAAGAATTTGAAGAAAGTTGATCAATTGGATTTTTATAACATTATTTCCTCTCATTCCTAGATCATTAATCCTCTTTTGTGCCTAATTGGTTGAATTGGATCATTTTATGATGTTTGAATTTTATTTGGGCTTTATTTAATTTTTTCAGTATTTGGCAAATTCTGATACTGTTTTGGTTTCTGGACCATATCTTGAGTTGTAAAACTCCTTTTATTGTGATTCTTGATTTGTAGGAAAGCTAAGAGAAAGGTGCACAATTCCAATGAGAGGTCAAAAACTAATTCTGATTATAAGAAGCTGAAACTGGGCCTGGAAAAAGTCAGAACGCTGCAGTCATGGATCCTGAGTAAGGTGCAGTATTTGGGTTATATCTCAGTCCACAGACATTCGATTAAGCCCATTCTAGTGGCGTTTTGAAGCTGGCATCCAAGGCTACAATTGTCCTTTAGGCCACGAATCAAAAAGAGGCCGTTTTCATAGCCGAAAAAATGGAACAAAGGGATGAACAAAATTTTAAATTTTGAATTCAATTTTTGGCTCTTCTCTTCTCTTCTCTTCTCTCTCTCATTTTTTTTCTCTTCCGTTTTTAATTTTCATTTTCCTCCATTAATGGAAGCTTAGACTTTCATCTAGTCCAATGATTGAAAAAGGATTGAGACACTCTTGAGAATCGGTTTCGCAATTTATTCAACAACAAATTCAGTTTCATCTCTTCCTTCTTTCTCCTTTTGTTAATTATGATTTCGAATTGAAGTTCTTCGTTTGGATTGATAATTGTGCAGTTGTTTGATTATATATTATTCAGTTGATGTATGTAATTAATTTTTGAAGGATTGTGAATTAGATTTTCAGGTTTGAGATCTAAGATTAATGACATTGGTGAATTAAATTAATACAAATTGATTATATTCTAGAGGTTTCTGAACTTTTAGCAAATTGTGTGTTAATCAAATGCCTGAGGGTTCTCGTGTGAATGCTTAATTTGAATTGAGATTTCATTCAAATTTAATGTTAATCACTAATTTGTTGTTTGATGCATCTTCTTGGAATCCAGTGATAGAGTGGTTGTAGTTCTTCTAAATTCTTGGATTAGAGTTTTTAATTATTTTTAACTTTTGATTCTAATTAGTTATTCTATAAATCAAACCCTCTCTAAAAATTTTATAATCGTATAACGTTATCATCGTTGGGAGACGACTCGGATTGCACCTCTTACTACATAATTTTTATGCAATTCAGTTTTTATTAATTTGTCCGAGAGCGACACTCGTGATCAAAAGTCATGCCACAAGAGATTGAACGTAGAGCTAATTCAAAAGAAAAAGCGGCGACTCCTATCAAGCCTCATATGGTGATGGGTCATAATGTTGGTCTACGTCAGAATTAGGTTGATCAAGCCAAGAATACTATGCAAGTCATGCAAATGCAAAGACATGCAGTCACACATATCGGCGCCATGCAGAATGTGAACAATGTAACAACACGTCTTGTGCTCCCTAATGAGGATACAAGAGCCTTTGCAGTTGCTCTTCGTAATCAGTTTTAGCGTGATGATGAGCCAAGTATAGAGACATTTGGATTAAGCAAGACATATGAACAGGGTTGTAATACCCAACTTTCACTAAAACACTACCAAGACCAAAATTTGAACAGCTATGCACGATGCTTGGAATTATAGAAATTTGCATCAAGTTAGAAAATGATACAAATTTCTAGAATACTCTAGAAAATTATATGCTATAATCTAGAAAACTATTTCTATCTTCTAGTTTGTAGATACTTCTAGAGAAAGATCTAGAACATTGTAAATCTTTTACTTTCAAGATAGTTCTAGAATATTGAACCACCTAAACATAATGGTGGAGGATGCCTATAAATAGGCATGTTATCACATTATAGAGGCCAAGAAGAAGAAGTAATCAAACTATCAATTCTTCATTTCTTGAGTCTCTTACTAAAACTTTTTCAACTATCATTTCAACTATTACTACTAATATATTTCAACTATCTTACTCATCTCACCTACACCAAAAACTATAAGAAAAAATCATGCATATTTTATGTGATTGTCCTATGGTGGTCAGATTATGGAATGTGTTGTTACATGGTCACATTATGCTTGCATTTTTTCGTTATCATTACTTGTGTGATTGCATTTCAGCAAACTTATCTTATTTAACCGAGTTGGGGTGATTTTATTCGTTGTAGTCGTAGATGCATTTTGGTGTTGGAGGAATAGAGTAGTTTTCAGCAATGAGGAGAGGGATAATATCTCAGTTGGTCTTTCAAATTAAAAGGAAAACTAACGAAATTTACCATGCAGGGTTTAGTGGCTATTTATGCGGCATGTCTAATGCACCAATGCAATAGTGTGTGATTCGTTGGTCTCCTCTGCCAAGGGACTCATGCAAGCTTAACTGTGACGGAGCTATTAGTAACGAGATTGCTTCGTGTGGTGGTGTTGCACAGGACCATAATGAACAATTTGTTATGGCTTTTTCGTGTAATTTGGATAACTGCTCAGTGGTTCAAGCGGAGCTTTGGGCTATCTATCATGGGACTAAACTGCTACGAGAAAGGAGTTAAGATGGAGACATTTAGGTGGATACTAATTATACTTTGGCAGTAAAGTTTTTAAATGAAGGATATATTCGTACTTATACTAGCTATTCTCTAGTGAACAAGATAGTTCATATTGTTGATGATGACTATGAGGTATCTTGCTCTCATATATTTTGGGAGGCAAATCAAGTTGCAGATCTTTTAGCCAAGCATGGTCGTAGTTTGCATAATAAGATTGCTATTTTTTAGGATCCTCCTTCTTATATCTGTTTTGCTTTGCTTGCTGATTTGTCAACTGTTTCATTATTTAGAAGTTTTTAATTTAGGTTTTTAGCCCGTTCATGTAAAAAAAAAAGTAAAATATTTACTTTAAGGTTTTAGAAATAAAAAATATTTCTTGAAAGATAAAAGAGAAATTTAGAAATTATTTGTTTCTCTTTTTGAATATAATTTTCTATTTTAAAAATAAAAAATTATTTGTCAACCTAAATTTTTAAAAGTAATTTTTTTTTATTTTTTATATAAAAAATAGTCTCTAAAATATTTTTATTTAAGTTGTTTTTTGTTTTTTCATCTTAAATATAATTTTAAAAATTGAAATAACAAACAATTTTTATTTTTATTTTTCTTTTTTAAAAACAGTTTTTAAAATTATTTTAAAATATAATTTTTAAAAATTACAAACCAAAACAAATACAAACATGTACTCGCTAGTTTACTCAAATCTTTTTAGTCTGACAGGATTGAGTCGTGTAAATTGAGAGCTAGGTGTTGACAGCATTCCATTAAAAAAGGTGGATACAACATTTTGCAGACAACAGTAAAAAGAAGAGGCGAAGAAGAAGGGGAAAAAAAAAAAAAAAAAAAAGAGCAGCGGGTTCACAACGTTTGATTATCCAATTTTCTTTGCCTCTTTTGCCACTCTCTTCGCAACAATGCTGCAAATTACGAATGTTCCACTCTAAAAAATAAAGGTGATATTTTATCCTTATTGATTTTTCGGAAATCTTCCTATATTTCCGTTCAAATTCTCGAAAACATTTTATTTTGAATGGTTTCAATTCAATTAGTTATCACGGCGCTTGGAGTTGACACTTCATTGTTGGGGTGCATCGTATAGCCGTTCACCTTTTCGACGAAATGCGTAAGAGTAAAATAAACCCAAATATTGAAGCCTCCTCGTTGCAAGGAACTAGTATTACAAGTTTCCAAATTGCACCGTTTTTAAGCATTGTAATATAGATTGGGGTAATGGGTAGTAAAACTTTGTTCAAGTGGCCCAAGCAAATCACAAATTCCGTAGTTGAGCACCTAATACGAGTAGAAAAGGATGTGCACAAAGCTCTCCTTTTGTTCGATTCTGCAACGGCTGAATATAGCAATGGGTTTCGTCATGATCACAAAACTTTTGGTCTCATGATCTCTAGGTTAGTCACTGTGAACCAGTTTAGGTCTGCAGAAGGGATGCTTGAGAGAATGAAGCAAGAAAATTGTATGGTTACAGAGGATATATTTTTAACTATATGTAGGGGTTATGGACGCGTGCATAGGCCACTTGATGCCATCAGAGTGTTCCACAAGATGGAAGACTTTCAGCTTAATCCTACTCAAAAGGCTTACTTTACAATACTTGATATTCTTGTGGAGGAAAACCATGTAAAGAGGGCTGTTGGGTTTTACAAGGAGATGAGAGAAATGGGCATTCCACCTAGTGTTGTTTCCCTCAATATTTTGATCAAGGCCCTCTGCAAAAACAAGGAAACTGTTGATTCTGCCTTACGGATGTTTCGGGAAATGCCCAACCGTGGATGCCTGCCAGATTCGTATACGTATGGTACATTGATTAATGGGCTGTGTAGACTTGGTAGAATCACCGAGGCAGAAGAGCTATTTAAGGAGATGGAGCAGAAAGGTTTTTCAGCTTCTGTTGTTACCTATACTAGTTTGATACATGGCATGTGTCAGTCTAATAATTTGGATGAAGCTATAAGATTGCTTGAAGAGATGAAAAAAAATGGCATTGAGCCAAATGTTTTTACTTATAGTTCTCTAATGGATGGTTTATGTAAAGGTGGTCATTCATCACAAGCAATGGAGTTGTTGGAAGTGATGGTCAGAAAGCACCATTTGCCTAACATGGTCACTTATAGTACTTTAATCAATGGACTGTGTAAAGAGGGAAAGCTTAATAAGGCTGTGGAGATTCTTGACAGGATGAGGCTTCAAGGGTTGAAACCAAATGCAGGGTTGTATGGGAAAATCATTAGGGGCTTCTGTGCTGCAGGCAGCTATCAAGAAGCTGCAAACTTCATTGATGAGATGGTGCTTGGTGGTATCTCTCCAAATCGAGCAAGTTGGAGCCTTCATGTTAGCATGCATAATATGGTGGTCCAAGGCCTTTGTAATAATATTGATTCACCTCGCGCATTTCATTTGTATCTAAGTATGCGTACTAGGGGTATCTCTATTAAAATTGGCACTTTTGACTGTTTAATCAAATGTTTTTGTAAGAGAGGAGACCTGCACAAAGCTGCTCGAATTCTTGATGAAATGGTATTAGATGGCTGCATTCCAGATGAGGGAATATGGAGTGTAGTAATGGGTGGACTTTGGGATCGAAAAAAAGTGAGAGAAGCCACTGAACTACTGCTGGATGAGCTGAAGCAGAAGTTTGTTGAAGCTGAAAGTTAAGTTTTGAGGGTCTACAGAGATGTACGTTGCATTCTTACTTAAAACCACCATTGGCATCACATGGTCTCCTGGCATTTTCTTTTGTAAAAGGTTGTTACTTGGTCACTAATTAAAATGTGTTATGTGAAGAAAGCTTGCTTATTAATTGTTATTTTCTTTATGTTCATTTAAATTTGTTCTGAGCCCTTCATTGACATGTTTGTGATTCGTGCTAAGTAAATTTGCAACTGTTTCTAGTATAGTTTGGCTAACTTTCAAATGAAATGATTTGATTGTCATGCCACTCCACCACCATTAAAAAACAGAAAAAGAAATTGGATATTGTAGAACAATATAAAATTACCTTTAGAAACCCCTCCCCCCTCCCCCAAAGCTTCCGCAATTGAATTTCATGAATTCTTGGTTTCGAAACTTAAGTGTGTAGAATAACACAAGTACAAGAATTCAAGTATGTTAGTCTTTTTTGTTTTCAGAATATAATTATTACTTCCTGTCTAAATTGTTGTATCATGGAATTTGAAGAAAATATATTTTTCTTGAAAAGATGGTTTTATTTTCACTTTAGCTTTTACTTTTGACTGCTAATCTTTGGCAGATCCAAACTAACATGTTGTCGTTCTTTTTTTCAGTGACCAAACATGTGCAGCCTTTTCAATTCATGGTCTCACTTCCTCATCTCAAATGGTTGTCTCTTGATCAGTGTCTCTCTGGTCTAATGTTTAAAGCTTAAAATTGAGGAAGTAAATATGCTGCTCGGAAGATTTACAAATAAGCTTACCCTGGCCCCAATTTTTATATTTCACATAACCTCACTCTCTTTTTTGGGGACACTGCCTTGGTTTTATCCCAATCGGATGTGAAACTTCAATGCGGAACACGTTTGTTGGAAAAAATTTTCCGGAGTCCTGGTAAACTCAGGTAATTGCAAAATCATTTGTTTGATCAAACTCATACCTTCTGGTTGAAGTTTTTTGTCAATTCCTAGAAAACTTGTTGCTCAGTCCGTTTCAGTAATTTTGGAAAATTCAAGCATTCCTCAGTTTTCTGATAGTGTAATTGCTAACATTTTAGTTGACATTCTTAATATGCAGATTGCATTTTACATGGCCCGACACATATGGGATTTAATTTATTATCATTTTGTTTAATGTTGGAATCACATTATGAACTTATGTCAGATAAAAGGGGAACACCAGAATTTTTATTTTTAATTTTGTGGAAAAAACTTAGGATGAGGGGATCTTATCCAAATCTAAGGTTGGGAAAACTTTTGAGTTCAGAAAGTAATTATAAAAAACTTACATTTGAGAGAAATTTACATGAGTTACTGTTATTATTAACTCATGGGTAAATGAGTGTTTTTTATTACTTTAACTTGTTTAATAATCACTCTTGAAATTGACTAAACATTTCAAGTTTTTCTGGTTGTATACTTTTTAGTCTTAAGTTGTGGTCTTTGTTATTGGATATATATAAAAAAAGACAAGTCGTTTGAGGTGAGATTCAATTCGTTGACGAGTTGCTCAAGCAATCAATTCCCCATTAGAAAAAAAAAAAAAAACCTTGGCGTAAAATATATCTTGCGTGATCAAGAGTGTGCTTATAAATTCTAACTAACGAATTGATAGAGAAGACTTCCCCATGCTAGGTTTAATCCAGGTTTAAATGCATTAAACGAAAATATTGAAAAACAACCTTTAAATCGAATAATATACAATTTAAATAATGTATTGGATATATAAATATGTTCAAAACACAAGAATTCGTTATTGAAACCGGTAACAACGATGAATATTAATAGAACTGGAACATTAATTTGTTGAGAGGGGGAAGCCAATTCCATGTCTCTGTGTAGGAAATGCAACAAAGAACATGCTGCCAAAAACGCCAATGGCTACTGGCAATGCTGTGAGGATTTCCTGTGTCTCATTTGAAGGTGCTGGAAAGAAGCAATTCACCACATTCTGATCAAAAAGTGCAATTGCTGCAAACACCAAAACTGACATCACTGCATGCATGAAATCTATAAACCTCAGGCGATACTTTGCAGCAAGTTGAGATGGAAGGGTAGTTGATCCATCAATGACCCACAAGCCCCTGAGGGTAGCAAACCCATAACAGATATTCCCCTTGTTGTCTCTGAAGCTATCAGTGAAACATAACAAAAAGCATGAGGCACCACAGAGAGCCACAAGTGAAGCAGTCATGACCTTGCTGACAGAGTCACAGGTGCCAATGTTTGTGAAGATTGGTGACAGAAGTTGAAATGCAAGGACTGTGCCAGTTGGTAAAAGGTTGGCCAAATGGGCTGTGCTCTGAAATGTCTGGCTGATGGCTTTCTGAATCAGGTTCCTCTCTGCTTCTGGCACCTCAGTGTTTCGCAGAAGAGGGAGAGTTTCTTCATCATGGTTCCTAGAATCATCCGTTTCTAATGTGATGTCCATGGCTTGTACAACAACCTTTTAGCTGCCTCTGATGTTATTGTTTTTATTACCTTTGTGTATGCTGCATAGGTTGTGTAGAAAAGGTATATCTATATAGGTTAGCAAATTTGAGTGGTGCCAAAGGGAGGGAGGGAAAGGAAAGGAAGAGAAGGGAAGCGATGTTTTGTCATTACTTGCAAGAAACACATACTCAAAACTTGATAAACCCACTTTCACGAGATTCCCGAAAGAGTAGTTAGTTACAAGTAAGGGTATGAATCCAAATACTTGCGGAAAAAACTGAAATAAGATATTGGATTCATGGGATCATCTTTTCTGGTGAGTGTAACACTACCCCAAGTTACACGTTATGATTTGTTAGCACTAGGGGTGTTCATGACCATCCTGTTTCATCTACAAGTCTGAGAATTTAATTTTGATAAATTTAAAATTTTCAAATTAAATCCGATATATTTTGATGATGAGTTTGGATTATACTTTGCATTGTTTCAATTTGATCCGGTATTTTTTAATTTTTCAATTTTTATTTTTGAAAGTGATTATATATTAATAATAAAATTTAAAGACTTGATAGATATTTTATATACATTAATATCATATTTATACTGATATTATTCATTTTGAAAATTATATTATAAAATATACTTTAATTTTCTATGGTCTAACTATACATAATATTAATATTAATATATTTTATTTATAAATTGAATTGACCGATCTTATCTTTATATTATCGACTTGTATTCAAGTCCAAAACAATTAATCCTATCAAAATTTTAGACTGAACGAAGAGAATGATAAATTTATTTCATTCTCCTCATATATAATTTAATTAACAGGATTTATATAATTGAAATAATGAATATAAACAGTCGATATTCTAACTGTACATTATACAGACACGTGGTTTGCATTGTCTTCTTTTCAATCATTATCGGGTCAATGAAAATTGAGATTGGGCCCGAACGATACGGTGGAGTGAATATAAATGGTAATTTCCGTTCTTTGTGGAAACAGGATATTAAATTGAGTTTTTTTAAAAAAGAAAAAATAAAGACAAACTACAAAACATGTAATTGAGTATATCTTCACTTGGCATTATTTATTTTAATTCTTGAGTTTGTAAAACGTTAGAAAATTTCAATTAATTTAATTCTTTTGTACTACATATTTTTCACTAGCATTAGGAACTAAAATAAATGAAACCTTACAACACTTTATAAAGTCCAAGATCAAATTGAAAGGTTTGTAAAATTTACAGTGTACTAGATAGGGCACTATTCGGCTTCACCTCTAAAAAAAGGTAACTGAATACCTCCTTCGGTCTAATATAGCCAAATACTCTTTGTCAAATTAAAAGGTAATTAATTCAATTAAGGGTAATAATCAGAATATTATATACTTCAATTAAGGGCCCATAACAATGCCTATAAAAGGAAGGTAGGAAGTACAGGTAAATGGTTGACTTTTCGATATAAAATAACATTTATTGTTCAGAACCAAATCATGACTTTAGCATCGGAGTGCCTTTTGCAGGTACCCTCCCCACGTCAGCAATGGTCTGAAGGACGTCACCATTTCAGAGCAGAGATCCGAAAACTAGTGTTTTTCTAGCAGGAACATTTTGGCGCTCACCGTGGGGCACAATTTGTCTCATTTTTTAAGAGTAATCATGGTACTTACAAGAAGCCAGCAAGACAGACAGACTCGGCAAGGCGGAACCTCTCAGCAGCAGGAGGATACTACACCTAATCAGCCGATCCCTGAAGTTCTAATGGAGGGAGGTGGCGATGAAAGCCTCTTTGCAGTGTTGAGGCAACTCAAAGCAGAGATTATGGAAATGAAGAAGGAAAAGGAGAAAGACGCTCTTGAGCTTTTGGCTTTGAGAAGGGAAAATGCCAACTTAAGGGAAGAGATAAGAACTCACATACCTTCTCAAACTACACCCCTCGCCCAAGAGCAGAGGGAGTCATCGGCGTTACAAGAGAAGCCAAGGGTGGTTCAACAACTTGGAACCCAAACTGACCGAGATAATGTAGTGAGCCAAAGCCCGTTTGCTCACCATATCTTGGATGCCAAGTTACCAAACAACTAGAGAGGCCTAACAATAGAAAAGTATAATGGCACATCCGACCCTGGAAAACATTTGGATGTTTTCACAACTCAAGTCAATCTGTATACGGAAAATGATTCCCTGTAGTGCAGGATTTTCCCCACTTCCCTTAGAGGACCAGCTCTCAGTTGGTTCACCCGACTCCCCCTTCTGCCATTAATTCGTTTGCAACCCTCACCAGACGATTCAATTTACAGTTTTTCACTAGTCATCATCATCAACTGACCTCGTTGGCTTTGGTTAATATTCGCCAGCAGAAGAAGGAAACACTCAGGTCGTTTATGGAACGTTTTGGGCAAATGGCCCTCTCTATCCGGAACTTGGATCCGACAGTTGCGATGCACCATATCACAACAGCCCTTAGGCCAGGACCGTTTGTCAACAATATCTGCAAAAAACCCCTTGTCAACCTAGATGAACTACATTGTCGAGCAACCAAATACATGCAAATGGAAGAATTGGCCGAGTTCCACAACCAGGCCCAGATGGAGCAAGTGCCCAGTTGAAGAGAATCTGAAGGGAACGAACACGCAAGAAACAAACATGGAAACAAGGACCAAAAGATCGAAACTGAACGTCTCCTGAGGAGACCTAGGTTTGTTAGTTACACAATATTAAACACCAGTCAATCTAAGGTACTCAAGCAGGCTTTAGCAACAGAGATATTGACAATACCGAAGCGCACGAACACTCCCAATCGGGCTAGAAATTATACTTAGTAAATTTAGTGCACTCTTTTCTCACTCGGGGTTTGTCCTTTTTGTAGAATGTGAAAAGAGGTTTTCCAGATAAGGTCTTTAACGAGACACTTCATCAATAAAATGACAGAACTTTATTTACAAGTCAATAGTCTCTTATTATTTCCTCCTAAGTACCTCACTCAGCTAAGATTGAATCAAAATAAGTCAACAGTCTCTTATTATTCCCTCCCAATATCTCATTCGGCTAAGGTTGAATGAAATATTCTCTCCCGGATACCTCACTCGGCTAAGGTTGAATCAAAATTCCCTCCCGAGTACCACACTCAGCTAAGGTTGAATCAAATATTCCCTCTCGAGTACCATACTCGGCTAAGGAGGAAATATTTGGCTAAGGTTGAATTAAATATTCTCTCCCGAGTACCACACTCGGCTAAGGTTGAATTAAATATTTCCTCCCAAGTACTACACTTGGCTAAAGTTGAATTAAATATTTCCTTTAGAATACCTCACTTGGCTAAGGTTGAATCAATATTCTTTCTCGGGTCCTCACTCGGCTAATGTTGAATTAATATCTCTCGGATATTTTGCTCAAATAAGATTTAATTGCTTTTTCCGGATAACCTATCTCGGTTAGTATCTATATTTCCAAGTACCTCGCTTAGTTAAAAGTGTGATTATTTTCTCCTATCAACCCCTCTCGGTTAAGGTAAAATTTACATTTACGAGTACCCATTCTGTTCAAATATTCCCTGACACATACCTCACTAAGCTATTATCTAATAATGAATGATTGCTGTCGTGTAACGTATTCGGTTCGAGTCGTTAAAAAAAATAATACAAATATCATAGATACTAATCATCTTTAACATGTTCATTTTTAAACATTATTTTAAAAGTTACCATTAATACACAAGTAAACTTCTCTATTTCATCCTTGGATGCATGACGCCTAACACTCCTTCGGCCTCATCTTTGAATGCATGACGCCTAACACCCCCTTCGGCCTCATCCTTGGATGCATAGCGCCTAACACCTCACCTTCGGTCTCATCCTTGGATGCAAGGTGCCTAACACCCCTTCGACCTCATGCTTGGATGCAAGGCGCCTAACACCCCCTTCGGCTTCATCTTTGGATGCATGACGCCTAGCACCCCCCTTCGGCCTTATCCTTGGATGCAAGGTGTCTAACACCCTTTTGGCCTCATCCTTGGATGAATGACGCCTAACACCCCCTTCGGCCTGCTTACTTCTTCATTACAACCGAATACCTCCTTCGTCAAAGTGTCATAGGTAAATACATTATTAAGCCCTCGCCTCGTACCTCTTCGTGCTTGGAGGGCTAGTGTATTGGATATGACACTATTCAGTCTTACCTCTAGGAAAAGGTAACTAACTACCCCTTTGGTCTAATATAGCCGAATACCCTTTATCAGATTAAAAGGTAATTAATTCAATTAAAGGTAATAATCAGAATATTATCTAGTTTAATTAAAGGGCTAAAACCAAGGCTGACTCAGTAAGCTCATTAGCCTATAACAATGCCTATAAAAGGAAGGTAGGAAGTACAGGTAAATGATTGACTTTTCAATATAAAATAGCATTTATTTCTCAGAACTGAATTCTAACTTCAGCATTGGAGTGCTTTTTGCAGGTACTCTCCCCACGTCAGCAACGGTTAGAAGGATGTCACCATTTCAGAGCAGAGATCCGAAGACTAATATTTCTCTATCAGAAACATACAGTCTTATAGGTCAAACTAGAGGTTTGCTTGTTATTTATGTCAACTGCATCAGTTAAACAGTGAAACAAAAGGAAAAGTATGCTTGAAGCATATTGTTTAATCTTGTCTGAATGAAATCTTCTGTTCTCCCTTTCTTGTTTTTCCACTCACTTCTCTTTTTTTTCAATTATTATTTTTTCTTAGTAAGGTTTTATGCTAAGGTTATAGTTTTTAAAAGTAGAAAGACAATGAAAATATAGACTTGATTCATATATTTCGGGATAAAGAGAAAATAATAGGTTCACTTCACTTTTAAAAAAGAGAGAAATATATCAAACAAGTCCAATTAATCCACTTTTTTTTGGTAAAAAAGAATTCAAAATATGAATTCCAATAATCACAGGGCTAAAAGAAGCAACCTTATTGGGCTCAAATATAGGCTCATATTGTAACGGGCTCTGTCCAACCCCTTTCAAATCATAAGGCCCGCTAAACGTGTGGACTTTAATTTCTTTCTAGTTGCTTATAACTTCATATCGTCTCTGTGGTGATAGCTCTGACCTAGCAGGATACACGTATCATGACTAGAATTTAAATTCTGGGTTTGAAAATTTTCCAAAATTATATCCCCTAATCTCCAATTCTCTTCCCTCAATGACCAAAAAACAAAAAAAAATTCA